AGAATTACACCACTTTTTCTAACATGTTTTTAAACCTATCTAATACCTCTAATCTCTTATTTACATATTTGACAAGTCAAATATACTAACAAACATCATTAAAAACTCATATTCTAACATAACACTCAAAAACCCATTTTCTTCTATCTATATTATCTTATCCATAACTTAGTTTTGATCTCATTTAATCCTTCCTTAAGCTTCTATTATACTCAATGCTTCAAAAGCCGCCCAAAAACAAAGGAATAAACTAGTAAATTGAAAACTCACCTTTAGCTATGGATGAGAAGTTTTTCACGGGAAGAGAAAGAAGAAGAAGAGGATAAACTTTTGGTAACCTATTTTCCCTTTTTCTTTTCTTTAATATACACTAAAGAAAATGAATTTAAAATTTATTCTCCTATAAAAGATTAAAATGCCCTTTTTCTTATCCTTTGTTACACTTCAGTCTAACCCACTCATCTAAATCATTTCTCATCTTTTATCAATTTATCAAATAGATTCTCACATTTTAAATCTTTTCAGTAAAGTCCCTAATTCGATATTTGGGGCATTACATTTCTTATCCGGTACTTTCTCGCATGGCAAGAGATATATTGGTTATTCCAATTACTTCAGTTACATCTGAATTATCCTTCGGTATGGGGGGACGAATTTTGAACAAGTTGAGATTTAAACTCTTACCTAAAAGTATTGAGATTTTTGTAACAACTCGTAATTGATTGTATGGTTTTGAGCTAGAGGAAAGAGATGAAGATTATCTTACAGTAATTAATGATTCTGCAATGTAAAGGTAAATAAATTATTTATTTTATTTATATTTTTAATTTCATTAATATTTTAAATTACTTATTAATGATTTTATTTTAATTTTGTAGGGTGTTTTACGATAAGTCAAAACATCGGATTTAGTTTGTGAATGATTTTATCTTGTTTCTTCCCTTTAAATGTAACTTTACCTTTTTTTTATATTTATTATGTTTATTAAATTAATTTTTCAAATTATTTATTAATGCTTCTGTTTTTTGTAGGGTGCCTTACAAGTTACAACAAACATCATGCTAAATGCTTCTTGAATGATTATGTCTTGATTTTGCTTGATATTGCTTGATTTAGAAATGCTTGTTGAATCCTTAATTCTGTAAGGGTTTGGTAAAGTCGGAAATATTTAGCTCTGTTGGCCATCATATTCCCTTTGACTTTACCACTGACTGGATGCTTATTGAATGCAGAAATGCTGAATGCTAAATGCTAAATTGATGCAATATTGTTTGCTACTGCTTGATGCTGCTTGTTGCTGCCTTGTAAATTATTGTTGGTCTGACAGAAATAAATTGTTGTAACTTGTAAATTTTTTTCTAAATAGTTACTCATGTTAAATTATGTTGGTGGCATTTCAGTTTTTAAAGCTAAAAAGTCGTCTGTAATTTAATAATGTTGGTAACAATTAGATCTTTTGATATAAAAGCTCGATGAAGAAATTTCTGGTAGTAAAGTAAGGCTTTTAGCCTTATAAAACTTTTGTTATAAGATCTGAGAGCTTAAATTTTAACACATTTATTTTTGTTCATTTTATTGTAATTTTGTTGTATTAAACTGTCATAAGTTTTACGTCATTCAAATTTTCAATCTCATGTTATTCAAATTTTCAATATCAAGTAAATTCATCTTTTATATTATCTTTTATCTATATGCTAAAATTTTCAGATAATTATCTTTACATTATTAATTAATTATTACATAAAACATAAATTAAACTTATAAATATTTGAATTAATTATTTAATTAATCATGTTCAATAAATAAATTATTTTAACTTTTATTGATTATAATTAATTTAATTAATCATGTTCAATACCAATAAATTGTTTTAACTTGTAATGATTATAATTAATTTAATTAATCATGTTCAATAAATAAATTACTTAATAAAATTAATTTGATGATTATAATTAAGATTTATAATATAATAATCATAAATAATATAATAAGTAAATTTATTAATTTAATTATCATAATTAATAGTTTATTATAACATTTAAAAATTAATCATATTAATTAGCATGATTTATTATAAACTCAAAATCTCATAACTTCATCAAAATCTTATAATTTCATCAATGGTAAATTATAAGACAAGTAAATATCAAGTTAAGTAAATATCATATCAGTTCAATAACAAGTTGGATCATTTACAGGGCAGGTTAGGTTGAAAACAAGTCGGGTAATACCAGTTATTTACCAGGTTAATCTCGGGTTCGGGTTCATATAAGTCGGATGCAGGTCGGGTTCAGTTATCATATTTTCAGTTCAATTCGACTTCAAGTCGTTCTCAGATCTGGTGCAGGTTGGGTTTAGATCTACAATTTCCAGGTCCAACTCGGGTTCAAGTCAACACCAGTTCCGACTCGAGTCGATTTCAGATCACCACTGCTCAGGTCACAAATAGTTTTGACCAGAGTCGATTTCAATCAGTTTTACAGTTCGAATCAACTTTTTACATCCCTATATATATAGTGACTTGGAGAGTTGTTGTCCCTTTCATAAAAATTTATATAATAGTATTTTAGATCATTTTTAATATATATTTTAAATTAATATAACTTTTGCTCCTCCCAATTTTTAAATTTAAATACTTAATAAAATTTTATTCTTTTAATATAAATAACTTTACCCCTCAAATAGTATTGGGCTCAAAGAACCTACATGTTTGAATATAGCATGTTTTCTTCAATTGGTAAGGAAGCTTCTAGCTAGCGAGGGGTCATTGTGGGTGGCTTGAGTGAGAGTATGTCATAAGGTGGAAATATTTGGGAGTTTAGACCTAAGGGTTGTCAAAGTTGGAGCTTGAGGAAAATATTCTCACTTAGGGAAATTATGAAGGAGCTAATTAAGTCTGTTTGGGACTGGTTGGACTCATTTGAAAACAAGGAGAATTTGGTATGAAACAAAAGTGAAAGGAGATCATGTTTCATGACAGAAGTTAGTGTGATTTCTATTGCATGTTCCTCGCCATGCTATTATTACATGGTTAGTTGTCCCGGATCAGTTGGCAACCAAAGAGAGGTTGTTGCGTATGGGAGTGGCCGTCCGTGGGGTATATGTGTAATGTGGGAGTGAACCGAAATCAAGAAACCAACTCTTCTTTAACTTTGCTGTTTTCACTATTGTTTGGATGAAAGTTCTTGCTTGGTGGGGTATTCGTCGAAGATTGCTTTGTTGGGAGAGAGAGTTGGGTTGGCCGGTTACCATGTTTAAAGGTAAGTCCCCTCTCGCTCTCTTTTTCAAGTTAGCTTGGAACGCTTGTATATACTTGATATGGAGGATCGAAATAGACATTGTTTTAGTAGTATCAACTTTAGATCAAATGAGGAACTCTTTAGCTTGTTTCGCGAGCGAGGTTGTACATGCAAAATTCTTTAGAATCAAAATAGAGAGAATCTTGACCCACAAATTTGTATAAAGTGGGGGATTGGTGATTGATTTATTTGTGTAGGGTATTGAGTTGTAGCAACTTGGTTACAATTTTTTTTTTTGGATATAATACATACATTTTATAAAAAAACACTTTACCCCCTAAACATCTTATTCTAGTTCCGTACCTGATTGGGATACTGATGATGAAAGAGAAGATGAAATTGAAATTAAAAAAATATATAAAAATATTATATCAGCATCACCGTTAATTTTTTTTATATATTTTTAAAAAATAGTTAAGTGATCAAAATAGAAATAAAGTGATAGGTGAGCAACTAAATTGATAGTTTACCCTTTTATTTATAGTAAAAGGTTGGGTAAACTACATATTTGGTCACCTTTGTTTGAGTTTTGTAAATCTATAGTCACTGGATTCAAAAAACATAATATATGGTCACTTTCGTTTTTATTTAATTAAGATATGGTCACTGTCGTTAAACCTTTAACAGATTGTTTACATGGCACCTTGTTAAGAGGGTTTAATTTTTATTTTAACCCATGAACATTAGATAAAATACTAATGATGAACCTTTTTGTAAACCTAAAATAATTTAGGGACAAAAATTCAATTTATCTCTTTTCTAATATGTTTTATTTCCAAACCCTAGCTTCCCACTTGCGCCTGAACTCCACTCTGAGCCCCCAAGCATCCTTCATCATTGAAGTCTTGTAGAAGGGCAAACATCTCAACTTAGTCCAAGTAAACAAGACCATGACTTTAAAAATCTCCTTTCTCCAAGCATTAATGGAATTCTAAAAAACTTCGGCTCGAGTCTTTGAGGCCGTTCACGGCCTCGCTCGGTCAGATATTCGAACTCCTTGTAATGATGCATTAAAGAACTCAGCAAGGTTAAAGGTTTTTGCATTGCATAAATATGTAGATATATTTAATAAGTGAAGTTTTTGTGTAGGCAACTTTGCATATAATCTCTGCAGAGAATGGCACTGCAACTGACCTGAAAAAGTAGAAGAAAAATCCCATGTTATTCCCAATTTCAACTTCACTGAACTATGAGCCTAAATGTGAAGTCCTGTGGATGTTTTAGTATCAAGAGGGTATCATCTAACAGCCTAACAAAATGCATTCCCGATTCGTCAGCACTAAACTAGTATTATTATTGAAGTGAAACGGGGAAGCGGCGGAGAAGATAGGCCTGGTAAAGAAAACATATGGAAAAAGGGATAAATTGATATTTTATCCCTAAATTATTTTGGATTTACAAAAAGACCCATGATTAATAATTTATCTAAAGTTCAAGGGTTAAAATAAAAATTAAAAATGAAAATTAAACATTTTTAATAACATGCCATATCATCAAACTCACGACAGTTAACATCCCAGTGACCAAATCTTAATAAAACTATAACATAAGTGACCAAAACTTTTTTATTTTGAATCAAGTTACCATAGGTTTATAAAACTCAAAACATAGTGACCAAATCTATAGTTTACCCTAAAAGGTTTTTATGAAAATCATAAGATCCGGGTTCGGGTTTTCTGGCCCACTAGGTTTACAAAAATCCAAATTGCTCTATTTGCTCATTGTACTTTTGTTCTTCCAACTTTTTTCATAAGCCGCGAAAGTAGAAACCGAAGGAGAAGGAAAGGGAAATGATGTTGAGAAGAGCGGTGATAGAGAGCAAAGCTTGCCAATTATGGCGGCTGATAGCAACAAGAGGCGCAGCCACCGGTAGCGGCAAGCAGGCATCTAAGCCGGCATCAGCGGCAGCGGCCGTTGATTCTCTGTTGCTCCGTTCCCTCAAAGAACACTATCTTGAAGTCTCCAAAATGAATCCCCCTCCTGTATAATTCATTCTTCACCTCTTTAATAGTAAAATTTGCATTTTTGTTTGTACTTTTTGGAACTTGAATGATCCTTTTTTTGAAAAGAAAAAATGTTCCTGTTAAACCCCAGTAAAACCATATATGGTAGAAACTTAGCTAGGTCTCCATTGTAATGAATATATTCCATAACAATTTTTTTATGGTTGTGGCTTGGGGGCGGAGTTCTTAAACTTCAGGTTTCTGTTATTGGCCAAACTTAAAACCTTAGGGTTTAGGGAATTTATGTTAAAACGTAGTTCGATTCATAGTTTGTATGAGTGAATGGTTGACAATTGAAATATATATTAAAGGTGAAGCAATACGCATTTCTGTCCACGAAAATGAAATCTTTCTTTCAAAAATATTGTTCATTTTGGTCATAAATGCTCATTTTGCCTTTTCCTCCTAAGACTCAAAGACAAGTGAATAAATTTAACTATATACCCCATATTCGTATCTTTTATCATAGCTACCTTGATTTTTGTTTCATTTGAGGAAAAGTCTCATCTATTATTTGCTTGCTACATGAAGCCCGATTGCACGTTTGATTTTCTGACCAATTTTTATGGTAAATCTAATGGGGTACATTGAAGGGGCTTACTGCTATCTGCTAGTGTACATGTTGCAGCTTCCCTTGATTTTAGTATACTCTGTGTCCATTTGATGTTTTAATCAGCTTTTCTAACAGTGTGAATGTATAATGTTGACAGAAAGTTCACCCTCCTTCACCATATACGATTATCAAAGGTGCACTTGATTCTAATGGCCCTGTTCTCAAGCGAACCTATGGCAAAGAAGAAATTAGCATCTCTGTGATGCGGTTGGCTAATATTATTCGTGGTGAAGGTGATGATCTTGAGGAAGATGGAATTAATCAATTGTTCCTTCGAGTAGATGTGTCAAAGCCTGGACAGGAAGACTCCTTACAGTTTCTATGTGGACTGTATCCTGATGCACTTGGAATCCACTCAGTTTCAATGAGGCCAAAAGTTGAATCTTCAGTGGATGATGTGGCTCCATCTAAATATAGCGGCCCTGTTTTTGAGTAAGTCATCAGCACATCTTATTCTATAGCGGCCAAAAGTATTAAATTTGATTATTTGATGCTTGTTTAGTTTTCCTCATAAATTGCTGTGGTGAATGGTGTGTTAAATAGTTAAGAGAGGAGATATTGGGTGTGTTCTTCCTTCCATCAATACATCCCCCCATTATCATGTCTAAATATTGGAGCTTAGGTACAATTAGGTAATTGCAACATCCATTATCTTTTTATCATCATAATATTACTAAAAAGAATTCAAGTTTTTGCTTGAAAAGAAATTAAGTTTTTGCTTGAAAAGAAATTCGGAAAACTTGGGTTCCTCAAACCAGTTGACTTCTTGCTGGTCTATATGAAACCAAAGAGTAGTGATGCTGCACAAGAATGTGGAATGATGGCCTTGGTTTTGGGGACATTTATTTTAGGTGATGTAACTATCTAAAAGACAAAAAAGAGGTTCATTTAAGCTGTTCTTGCATGATAGTAGTTAGAGCTGTAGAATGAGAATTGGTGATGGATTTTCTTGTGATTAGTGTATGTAGCATAACATTATCTTGTTTATCTGATATGGCATGAAAGCTGAAGGGAATTACCAGAAGAGAAAGTGGATTATGGGAGTGTATGAATTGAATCATTGATTGGGCTACATAAGCCCTTAACATTCATCATGTGTTACCTGGACTCTGGGTTGAGTGTTGGATACAAGTATGACTCTGACATGGATATGCTCAATGTTCTCTAACTCCTTTTACATATATGGAAGACGCTTCCCAATATTCAACTTTAATATGTGCTGGACAGTGGACACAATGTTGAACTTAGGGTGCTTTAGGAAAAGTGAAGAGTTCAAGTAACATATGCTTGGTAGGTTGTATAATTGATTTACCCCAGCATCCTTCCGGGGATGCAGTTGAGCTATATATAAATATTTGATTTTATTCGCTAAAAGGTGAAACTCCAAGGAGAAGATTTCCAAGAGTAAAATGTACAAAATAATCTCAAAAAGATTTTAAGAAACTCCAACAGCTATGCTATAAATCTTTAGCCAGACCAAATAGGCTCTCATTCTAGTTACTAGTTACAGTAATTAAATTTTTGCTTCAACGAGTGAAGTTGAAAATTTTCATGTTACTAGTTAATGTACTTTTTTGGTAGAAAGCACAAATTACTAGTTACAGTACATTTTAGAAAAAAGACTTGGATCTAAACTCACTCATATGTGCAGACTACGCTGCTTGAATCTCGGTCACCAAGGGAGAGCAAAATTCCCTTTAACCACTGGGACCACTCCAAGGGTTCCTAGTTACAGTACTTTAATAAATGCTTCATGTAGTTTTTTTTTGCATAACTTTGATATACTTTAAACCGGATATTTTCAGCCGTGAAAATGATTTGGTAGATGCAGCTTGAATTTCATTATACATGCTCTTTAGTAACAATGCAATTCTGAATAAAGCTTATTTGCTTTTATTTTATTTTCATTTTGGTACAGACGATGATGCTTAATGTCACCTCTTAAGGGTGATTACATAAACTATAGGGTTAAGACCCAGTTCATGTTTCTTTTTGTCATTGTTATTTAAACCGATTCTCATATCTTATGTTTGCTTACTTATAAGCATTTTCTATGCATTTTTGGCAGAGATCTTGATGAAAATATGAGGGATGCATTTCACAGTTTCATAGAAGAACGAGGGGTGAATGAGAGTCTCTTTCCATTTCTACAAGCATGGCTGTACGTGAAAGATCATCGGAATTTGTTGCGCTGGTTCAAATCGGTAGGCTCATTCATTAACGAAAAAGAGAAGTTGAGTCGATAATGCAAAATATTGATCAACTGATTTAGTGAAATAGAGTCATCTATCTATCTCGCAAAACGGTAGATTAATCTTTGAGGACCAATGCATGTTTCTGCTGGTTTTGATGATTGAGTTTTTACATACATGGTTCCTTAGCAATGGAATTTAGTATTAATTAAGACTCATTTTGGATGTATGGCCTGCTTTAGGGTTTAATATAAGTAAAAATGTCCTTTTATAATTTTTATTTATTCTAATGCTAAGTACTCTTTTGGTCTCATTTTCTTGGCTATTCGAAAATTGTCTTTTCTCCTATCTTTAGAACATATAAATGGAAGCTATAATAGTGTGATCAAGTGAATAGTTAAACCATTTGGTATTTTATGTATCTTACCCAATAATCTATAATAATATTTGCATGATTTTGATAATTATTTTTTAAATAAAAATTATATACATTTAGAGAAATGGTTAGCAGATAGTCCAAATTTATGCAACCGTCAAATGACTTACTGTAGCTAAGTTTTTGAAACCAAATGCCCAAATCTAAATTTTGTCCATTTAGATACCCAATTACATCAATAACCAAATTTACTTAAAACCCAATTAAATATTTTAAAGCCCAATTACATCTTAGCTCGTTTACCCTCAACCCAAATACAAAAACCCAATTAAACTGAAAGCTCAACTGACCCAGGACCTAAACTCTACCATAAACCCTAGCCACCAAACATGATCCAACGACCCAAATTTAACTCTAATCTTAGGAAGGGTTTCATTTGATCGCGGTTTACCAAAAGAGAAGGGGCAATCTTTGTATCCAAAATTGATCCAATGGTCAAAATGGATGGAGGATGCATCTTCAGCGTGTGCAGTGTACCCGCAACCCATCAGCTTCTCCATGTGCCTTATATCTCACTACGCGTGGTGATCCCTTCGCCTCTCTCGAGCCAAATCAGAGCTTGGGAGCCCAACTCCATCTATGTAGACGACCACATACCACTTCTCCTAAGCCACATCAACGAGGGAGATTTTTCCTTGCTCGTGCCATAGAAGAAGAATCATGCGAAGCAATGGTCTCCCTACCCTCCATTCGTACACCAAAAACTTTATCCTTGCCAGTAGGAGAAATCTTTCACAGAACAATCTGTTATGAGGAACGGCTTTGTAGGCCCTTTCCTTCATTTATACGACGCGTCTTCATTGGTGGAGGATGACTTTAAATCCTCTAGGAAAAAGAGAGAGGGGGAACATAAATAAAAAATAATAAAAAAAGAGTTTTTTGTTTTAAAAAAAAGTAAAAGAGACAAAACATAGGAAAATAAGGCTTCGTGTAAACGATATTTCTCCTCATTTAGAGTAGATATATGTTTGGAAGAGAGGCTTAGAGGTTTATTGGGTTTTTCAAAGCATTCAAGGATGATGAGGGTTTTTGGGCTCTTAATCTCGATCTTTGGTCGCCAATGAAGAATGATGAGGAATTGAGCCCAAATAACCATAATTTTTTTTTTTTTGAATTGAGATCAGTAATTATACCCTTGAAATTGGATAGCGTAATCGGGCTAGAGAATGAGGGGGAGTTGATTCACTATTCATCCTTTTCCTCACTTATTTGTCCTCTATCTAACTCTCTCTTCTTCTCCCTTCAAACTTACTAGAGCATCAAAGGAAGGAACTTGATTAAAATGTAGTTCTTAGACGAATTTGTGAAAGTGAAGGCTAAAATTTACACCACTAGAGCTTTGGTTTTAGTTCTTTATCTCCTGTGGAGGCGGGGAGACTAGATAAAGGGTTTTTGAAGGATTTTGGAGCCTTGAGCTAACCATCTAGGTTTAGTCCATTTTGAAGTTTCTAGTTCGTTTTCTTACTCTATTTGAGTCTCAAATTGAATTAGTAACTCATTTTTTTCTTAGTTGTGTAGCCAAAGAAGTGGGAGAGTTCTTCAAGGGAAAGAACAAAATGAAGTTGGTTCTTGATTGAGCTTGAGGAGTTCTTGTGTACTTGAAGCTAAAGTAACACACTCCTAACTCATCTATAATACATGTAAATCGTTGCATGTTAGTTTTTCTTACTTGTATGAGTGCTTGAAATATGATTGGGTGTTTATTTGCTTGTGGATTAGTTGGGACATATTTACGATTAAACATGCACAAAAATAATGTATTATGACCCCGTTTGACTTTCATATGTTTTAAATATTTCCCTATGACCTTAAATATCACCCTATGACCTTACAGGTATATTGATACTTTTCATATGAAGACTAATTTTTTTATTTTATTTTGGTGAGGTAGTATTGATATTGTTCATCTGGTGTAGACACCTATTTTCATCTGATAGTTAATTTAAATTTTATTTTTATTTTTATTTTTTGATATTATTATTAGTAGTATTTATTATTATTATTATTATCTTATATATATATATATATATATATTATATATCATTATATATTACTAGTATTATTATTATCATTTTATAGAAGTTGACGAACACAAGAAGAGGGTGTTACATATAAACTTTTCCTTTACTGTCCAGTGGTTCAACTACTGGTAATCAACACAAAATTGTCATGTTCCATCTTTTTTCTTAAGCAACTTAGCAAAAGGATGCTAATGGACTTTTACTAGTTTGAATTACAGAAGTTGTCAATAACCAGTAATATGCCTCTCCACTCTAATTTTTTTATAAGAGAATCTATGGGGTCTGAGATTGATGGGTGAAGCTCCTAGTTTAAGGAATATGATATGGTCATGAGTCCTAGCTGGAGGAAGTGTAACACCCTCAGATACGAATCCGATGTGTCACATTGACTTTTCAAATTGTTTACTTTTAAAAGACAATTGAAAATTTAAACTTTTATTTGTTTAAAAATGGTGGAATCTCTTGATCAAAGTATATAAAGAAAATTCAATCTCCATCTGAAAATAAAAGATATAATAATTTACATAAATTCGGTAAAATTCGTTACAAAAATTATCGGAGCATATATGATTCAACATTTAATTAAACGCCAACCAAATTTAATACAACAAAACACATACTGTTAAGTCCTTTATGATACGATCTTCGGAAGAAATATGTTGTCCTGACTCCTAGCTTTAATCTTCTTGTTTCTTTGTACCTACATGTGAAGCACTCCCACGCTAAGTCGTGGACTTAGTGAGGCATATAAAACACAGAATAATAATAATAATAAAACCTTAAACACTTAACATACTTTGAGCATTTCATAAAAATCATATAATAGAGAAACCATAGAACATATCATAGAACAAAATGCATACATGTATATATATACCATCATCATCATGCACCATTCAATTATTTCATTTCTTTTAACAGCTCATGTACGTCATTGAGAACTTAAGGTATATGAGTGCTTTGAGGTTGTGCACTAATGTTGTCACCACATCTCATATAAATTGCACCGAAGTATCGCGTAGAAATTGCACCGAAGTGCCACATAGAAATGTCCCAAAGGACCACATAGTATTGTCCCGAAGGACCGCGTAAAAATGTCCCGAAGGACCACGTAGATTTGTCCCGAAGGACCACGTATAACCTCGACTCTTGGCATGAAAAATATACCGTTAGCTCTCATATCACATATTTATGGGCTTTACCATTTACACATTTCACATAGATTGAATCACATAGACATATAATCACATAGATTATTTTCACATAGCTTATCTCATATTTTCATGTAATCACATAGATCAATGCTACATAACTTATCTCACCTTTCATATAATCACATAGGATGAAATGTAACAGATAAACCAGGTAGAACAGTGCATATAACACGTAGACATATGCTTGTATTCATGTACACATAGAAACCATATCAACAACATAGTAGTATTCATGAAATCATAACATCAAAACATTGGAAATAGGCTTATCGCAAGTCTTATTTCCATATAATCATATATTATAGTAATATGCACTCACCTTAGCCTCACTTAGTCAAGCAAAACACTTAGCCTCACTTAAAAATGAAAGGAAAAATCAACTTGAGACCAACTCACCTTACCAATGGAGTCACGGCCGAGAAAAGAAGAAGAAAATAGCTAAACCAATCTCCAGATTTTTCTTTCATTTTCTCTTCCTCGTCGTGTATATAATACCTCCACTAATGAATTTTTAATTCATTTTTTGTATAATGACCATTATGCCCTTCCATCTATCAATATTTGATAATCAATCCTACATAAACAAATTCCAATTAAGTCCATGAACTTTTCAATTTATCACAATTTAACCACCAAGTTTTAAAATCTTACACTTTGGTCGCTAGCCCGGTTTTTGGGATGTTATAGGAATTTCTTATGGCTTTTCAAAAAGTTGGTGATATTCTTCAAGGAGGGTTTGTATAATATGAAGGTTTTCATAATATGAAATCTTTGCATTCAATCAATAGAGTTCTCCAATAGAATTTGGATGTTTGGCAGTTAACTTTTGCATATTTTCTGCAGTGATGACTTTCATGTAGGGAACTTTTCTGCTTCCTTGAAGAGTAATGCTCACATATTCCTTCTTGAAGCTTAGTGTCATCTCTTTGAAGTACATATTAATAGGGCTACACTTTCTCATCCAATCCACTCTAAGGACCATGTTGTTACCCCTTATCTAAAAAACCCTAAAGTCATGCTTAAAACAATAACCCTGCATAGTACGACTAAGTTAGTTGCTCATTGTTGTACTGAGCAACCTTTCTCCATTAGGCACAATGATGATCAAAGGGTTAGTTTATAGTACCTCAGTTCATTCTTTAGTCCACCTAAGAGTGATGAAACTATGTGTGCTACCACTTTCTGCAAGAATACTAAAAAACTTCATGTTGGTAGACCCTTGAATTAATAGTATTATGCCATGTATTGTCTGTCAATGCATTACTAGAAATTTCCATCACCCCCTCAGTTATATCACCTTTCTCAATAGTATTGTTGTGAAGGTCTTTATCAGTATCCAATTATTTCTCCCTTGAACCTTGCATTAATAGGATTATGCCATGCATTGTCTGTCAATGCATTACTAGAAATTTCCACCACCCTTTCAGTTATATCACATATCTCAATAGTTCTATTGTGAAGGTCTTTATCGGTATCCAATTGTTCCTCCCTTTAACCTTGCAGATCCTCCTCTTCCATCATATTCAAATGTTTTTTCTTGCATTGATACCCCACCCTAAATCTTTCTATGCACTTAAATCACAAATTATGAGTCATTCTATAGTCAGACAAATTCTATCTTTTAGTAGTTTGGGACAGAGGTGGTTTGACACATTTAGATCCCTTTTCTCCTTCAAATCCCTAGTTCTTCTTCTAAGCTCATAAAATGTACGTGTTATATCTCAAAGGCCTATCAAACCATAACTCATTTAAGAAGGAGACAAACCACCCGCAAAGCAACATGGGCAATTCGTTCAAAGAAGAGCTTGTCCAAATCTTATGCCATTAAAATCAGGGTCTACCAATTAGGGGGAAAACTTGAAAATATATCATCAATTGGAAATAACTCTTCATAATTGAGTTCATCCATACGTAGTTCTGTTAATTCAATTTTCATAGAACACCTACCACTCTACTTCCTGACCTTATGAAGTAGGATACTCATAAAACAAAACCCATCATATGTTTCATAGGTTCTATGTAAACCACTTTGGTCCAACTAAAGAAAGACCCAAGTTCCTATATATAATTAGGTTAATATAATCTCCTAGTAGCTATGTTGAACTTCAAATAGTATGAACCACTATTGTCCACCATCATTAAAATTTGTACATCAATAATTAGCGTCACTTATAGGAACCAAAGCAAAAAGTGGTCTTTGTCCAACAAGAATAAAATTTTCAAAACAAAAGAAAATGAAAAACTTTAAAAATAAATAATAGCAACACTCTTCAACCATAAAGTCTTGTGAGTCAAGACTAAAAAGACTTTTAATTCAAGGTAATTGTTAGATGGTATAATGTGTGTTGGAATGGTTGAGGGTGGTTCGTCCCTTTTGATTTGAGCGGAAAGCTGTAACCGGTGACTATATCGATGTTAAAAGGGAGGAGGAATATGTTGTAGAAGATGAACAATAGCCTTGGTGTTCAAGAGAATGAGAGAGACAATCACCTTTCTCAGCTTTGCATGACAATTTATATACGACCCCAGTGTTGGTGTCATACATGTGGTGATGATTGCTATTTATTGGTCAATAAAGTGAATTGACATGATCATCATATAGCAAACCTTTTTGGTGATAGGACTGGTGGCGGTCAGATCAAAGGGTGTAGTTATCAAGAGGATATGAAACTCCAGAGGTATCTAAGAACTCTAGAGGCTTTGCCCAGTGTAGGAGCAATAATCGAGATGAGTGATGCATGGTATATTGTCACAACAATGGTGCAAGTGTACACATCATTCAAGTAATAAAAGAGTGAAGTAAGATTATCGTTCCCATGAGGATTTGATTAACAATGCTATAAGAAATATTATTGCAATTGAGTTAGCAAGTGAAATATGATACTAAATGATGTGATAATGATATTAGGAACTTTAAAAATCAATTAGGACATTAAAAATAAGTATTTAAAATTTATTTTCCATGACAAAGCTCTGATTACGTCACTCGTAGAAAGAAAACCTTGAAAATAAAAGTGCTACTTGAATCCATAATTTGTAATAGTGTACTTAACTTTGAAATTTGCTAATTGATATGACCATATATTGTACTTAACTTTTCCGGTGATAGGACTGACGACGGTCAGATCAAGGAGCAACAGTCGAGATCTGTGATGCATGACATATTGTCACAACAATAGTGCAAGTGTACACATCACTCAAGTAATATGATACTAAATGATGTGATAATGATATTAGGAAACTTAAAAATCAATTAGGACATTAAAAATAAGTATTTAAAATATATTTTCCATAACAAAGCTCTGATTACGTCACTTGTAGAAAGAAAACCTTGAAAAGAAAAGTCCTACTTGATTCCATAATTTGTAATATTGTACCTTGCTTTAAAATTTGTAATAATAACAACACTCTTCAACCATAAAATCTTGTGAATCAAGACTAACAAGTCTTTTGAGTCAAGGTAAAAGTTAGATGGTATAGTGTGTGTTGCAACGGTTACAGGTGGTTCATCCATTTTAATTTGGGCGGAGAGCTGCAATCGATGGCTATATTGATGTTAAAAGGGAGGAGGAATATGTTGAAGAAGATGAACAATAACCTTGGGGTTCAAGAGGAGAGAGACAGTCCCTTTTCTCAGCTTTGCATGACAATTTACATACAAGCCCCTAGTTTTGGTGTCATACGTGTGGTGATGATTGTTATTTATTGGTTGAAAAATAGCAGACTTTGCCAATAATAAGATTGACGACAATCAGATCAAGGGAATTTAGTTGTCCGGATGATGTGAAACTCCAGAGGCTTTAATCAATGGAAGAGCGAGAGTTGAGATGCGTGATGCATGGCATATTGTCAATCTCACGAGGACGAGATTAACAATGCTATAAGAAATATTATTGCAACTGAGTAAGCGAAAAGAATATGATACTAAATGATGTGATAATGATCTCAACAACTTTGAAAATCAATTAGGATATTAGTAAATATTTAAAATATATTTTCCATGACAAAGCTTTGATTACGTCACTCATAGAAAGAAAACCTTGAAAAGAAAAGTCCTATTTGAATCCATAAATTGTAATATTGTACCTAACTTTTAAATTTGTTAATTGATATGACATCCTCTCTCTCTCTCTCTCTCAATTGTAAATGGTCCGTGAAACGCATCTTTTAATTGTGTTATCTGAAATTTAGTCACTAATATGAATTAGTGTTGTTTAAAAGGAATGTTAGTAAGCCTTTGATGAATTAGGCCAATTGTTAGTTCAGTAAGATAAAATCAACCCACAAGCACAATATCAAATGCATATATATGACTAAGCCTTTACCATCGGATCACTTTAACTTTTAGTTGCCTTGGCTCAAACATGAGTACCCTACACATGTATTTTCATTTTTGTTTTAGGCCAAACATCAGTACTTTAAAAGAATGAAAGAAAAAAACAAAAGCGTTGGGGGCAACAGGAACATGATAAAGGGAGCAAGATGGGTCATACCAATAAATGATTTCACTTTTTGGGAAAATCTCACACACATCTTCCTAAATTGCTTGCGGTTAGAACGTCAAAGTCTAGTAGAATAACAATCGAGTGATTCATACGTCTTTCCAAAAACTCTAAATAATATGTTTGTCCTCCTATTGACACCGTAACAAATACCCTATTGATACAAATAATCTCTCCAACACCAACACATAACCTAAGAATGTTTGCCTTCTTTTGCCCTTATATATGTCATAATTGAAAAGTTAGAGAAACATAGTCTTAAAATGTATCAAATATCATCCTTTTGCACAAGTTTCCAAAATATAATAAATGATTAACTTTAGTAATAGAACGTATGTTCATTCTTCTAGATGGGTCAAAGCAACATATACAAGAAGAAGATATCCATAATCATAATCAAATTTCATTTTCCCTGCATAAAACTGCAGAAACGAAACAACAGTCTAATCTGCTAACCAATCATCCCACATGTAGTTGATCCCATAAACATAACCATAAAAACTCAATATTTTCATCCAAAGTACATTCTTTATCCTTAAAAAAAGTAATAGTGTTCTATGTGTGTATATATATAAATAAAAGAGGGTTTAAAAATCAAGGATGCTTTTGACCTTTGGAGCATAGAGGGAATAGACGATGGCTTGTTTCTTGGCGACTTCCAGCTGTGCTTTACCGTCGGAGAAAGCGGCGGACAACAGACGAGTGTCGGTTAAGTTCTTGTTGTCTCGAAACGCGTCCATGGTTCGACGTTTTGAGTACTCCCCGATGTTGTAGTCGCTGAACTGACGCCCCACTCGCAGTAGTGTACGGTAAAGGTGAAGAACCTCAATTCTCATCGGCACAACTGCCCCCGGCACCGCCATTTCTGCTTCTTTTTTTTGGTTTGTAGTTTCAGTTTTATGAGAGAGTGATATTTCTCAAGGTGCGCCGTGTCAAACAGAGAATCTTTTGTATCGACCCTTCATTAAAGAAAGTGATAAAGAGGAAGTCATTATCATCTGTTTCTAATTTACGTTTAAACTCATACTTTAATAGTGGGAATTTGGATTAATTATTGGATTCGTCGCTTTACTTTAATGTTTATACATTTAAATTTATACCAGTTAAATTTTGATCATTTACATTATCAGTTTATTGAATTTTGGTTACTTTTATTATCAATTATTATATTTTAGTTATTGAACTGTTAACTCATGTTAATTTGATGATATGACATGGTAGTTAAAAGAGGTCAATTTTTAATTTGACTCTTAAATTTTAGATAAATATTAATTTGATCTTAAACTTTAGATGAAATATCATTTTGACCCCTAAAATTTGGATAAAATATTAAATTGACCATTGAATTCAACTAGTATCTCGTCGTCGACCACCACTCACTACTGTCACCGTTGATAGGCATCGACCGCCATCGTTGTCGATTGTTAGACCCCAAAACTTTAATTCACTATTTTTTTGACTTCCTGAATGTAAATCTGGTATTTGTTTCACATGGAAAAAATCTCAAAATCAACAATTCTAACCTAGAACCTCTTGAATTCCTTTAAAATTAAACCATAAAAATAAATTTATCAGTTTTTTTTATAAAAATAGGAGCATAGGAAAACAACTACCGATAGCGGAAGGGATAAAAGAGTACCCCATGATATTATTAAAAAAATACAATACAAACCTGCCCCTACAATCAATAAACAATGCAGGCTAACATCAAAATCCAACAACCAAATAAAACACATAAAGAAAAAACAACGCAGACATACATCCAACGACCCCAACCTAAGATACTATAAGCCAATACCATTTTTCGCAAATGTATCTGCTTCGATATTCAATGCCCTTACTACATGACGAATAGCCGAATTGCTGGAAGAGATGAGATCATCAAAGTTCTGCACCAGGACGCGAACATCGGAGAGCTCTTCTCAGGATTTCGGACCCAATCAACAGCTATTCTAATATCGCTTTCCATTATGAGCCTTGCCCCCGATTTATGTTGCACTGATACGAATACGGGACGACATATAAAAAAATTCAAAATTATAAATAGATGTAAAAATCATAAATAAAGTCAATACTTCGTAGAAAATTAGAAAAATAAAATCGATAAGTAAATCACAATATTAACTCTAGAACAATAAAATCCATAAACAAATCATAATATCAAGTTTAAGATAATAAAATTCATAAACAAACCATAATATTAAAGTGTCAAATCTCAATACTCAAACCACAATATTAACTCTACACTATTGAACCAAAAAAAATCAAACATTGTTAACATCTTTAGAGATTAACTCGCTCTCTAAATCCGGCTCATCAAGTGAGAGTTCAACAAACTCTAAATATCCAACATCTCCCAATGAATCAAAAGCATCTCCACTAACATCTCACATCTTGGTTTTCTTATCCTCGTATTGACTAGAACTCCTTGATAAAAGACGAAGATTGTAGTGGTTGTAAACTAAATCTTCGACTCGACTCAAATTTAATTTATTCCTCCTATGTGAGTGGATAAAAGAATAAGTACTCCAATTTCTTTCAGAACAAGAGGATGAAGTATGTTGTCCAAGAACTTTGAAAGCCAAAGATTAGAGCAATGGAGTTTCGACACCAAAGTTAGCCCACCAATTTTTTGGATTCGAAGAATACCTCTTTGTAAGAGAAATTAAATCTTCAAAAGGCCCACTCTTAATGAGAAACAAGCATATTCGTCCAAGACTTTGTTATAATCATTGAAGATATTCATTTTTTTCATTTTAATTTTATTTATATTATTATTATTATTATTATTATTATTATTATTATTATAATTATAATAATAATTATTATTAATATATTATTTATTTATTAATATTACAAAACCCGGAGCCCAATAATCAGGCCCATATTACAAGCCCAAACCATATGGAAACCCTAAAACATTTAGGGTTTCAGCTAGGGTTTCTAACCCTAGCTTCCAGCCGCCTCTGCCTCCAGCCGCCTCAGCCAACGGTCCAGCTTCCAGCCGCCTCTGCTGCCAGTGCCACGTCCCAACCGAAGGCTCCAGAAGCTCCAACGCCAGCCGTCCACGATATGGCTATGGGGTGAGTCACCACTGGGAGTCCGGTGACTCACTGAGACCCGCTCTTCGGACCGGTCCGATGGCCACACCGGTGATGGCTATAAAGCCATCACCCCATCTGCGAGCAAAAAAAGAGGAGGAGACAGAGAGAAATACAGAGAAGAACGGGGAGAGACGAGGAAACAACAGAAACAGAGAGAGATACAAAAACTACCAACGATCTCAACAACAACGCAATAAAGAAACAGAAAAGAAAGAAAAGAAAAAAGAAAGAAGAGAAACTTACCGAGGAAGCCCCGACCACCAGACGTCACCAAAACCTTCGGAAACCGAAGGTACTTCTTTAGATTCGCTCCGATCAGGAGCCATTTAGAGGAAAATAACACCGGAACCGTCCTTAGGACGGTCCGATCTACCCATTAATGTAAAAATAAAATTTTCCGGCCACCGGATGTGGTGGCCGGCGGTGAGGGTCACGGCGGTAGACGGTTGCCGTTCGGTGACCGGCTTCCCTCCGGTGAGGGAAGCTAGAGAGAAGGGAGAGCTTTGTTCATTCTCTCTCAGTTAGAGAGAGAATGAAAATTGAAAAATGAAAGAGATGGCCCGAAGGGCCGGCTGTCTTGGGCATTAAATAGCCCTTCCCAAACGACGTCGTTTTGGGGAGGGCTATTCGTGTAATTAAAGAATAGTTAAATCATTTCCGCAGCTATCTAAACTTGTAAACTTTCCATTTTAGTCACTAAATCAAGTTTATAATACTTTTAATTTGATCTTTATTTTTTAATTTTATTTATTTTAGTCCTTTATATTAAAATAATATATTTAGGATAAATAACAGATTTAATCTCTTAATTTTAATAAATAATATTTTAATCCCTAATTTATATTTTTAATTTATTTTATTCTAAAATCTGAATTTTAGATAATTTTATTTTAGTCACTAAATAAATAAAATAAAGAAATAGCATGTTTAATCCCTATAATTTTGATTAATTATGAATTAGGTTTTTAATTTTACTTTTACTATAATTTAGTCATTTATTTTAAATGTTTTCATTTATTTTACTGCTTTTAAATATATCGTTCTGGTTGTATTTTTATTGTTTTAATTTTACTTGTTTATATTTTTAAATATTTTTATTATTATGTATTCATAAATATATATATATAATAAATAATAATTTATTTTTTTTAAATAAATTATTTTTATATTTATTTTTTAATATCAAAGAAAAGGACAGTCTTAATACAACTGGATGTCCTATTCTGGTATTTTAAATTATAAAAAAAATATATATATAAAAAAATAATATTATTTAATTTTATTTAAATTAATATTTATCAATATCAAAGAAAAGAGCTGTCTTAAGGCACCTAGAAGTTCTTTTCCGATATTTTTAAATATGTTTATATAATTTTGAAATAATATGATTATAAATTAAATATATTTTGAATTTTTTAAAATTTATAATAATAGAGACAATTTATAATTAAAAAGTACCAATTTTGGGCGTTGTAGGGGTGCTAATCCTTCCCTAAACGTAACCGACCACGAATCTTTTTTATTATTAAAAAGAACGAATTTTTGGTTATAAATACAGATCAGTTCATTTTTTTATTGGTGTTTTCTTAAAACTCTTTAAGAAAATAATTTTTAGGTATTCGACCTACCTGACCTAAAAGGCCGATGGCGACTCCCAAATTATTTTCAAAAACATTTATTCACATCAATTTTCCCGCCAAGTATAATATTTCGTGCCCGGATGAAAACCGGTTACGACAGCTTGGCGACTCCGCTGGGGATCTGGTCAAACTTTAAAATCAATTATAAATTGTCTCTATTAATTAAAAATTAAAAGTTCATATATTTAATTTTTAATTCTTTCTTTTCAAAATTTTTATATTTACTTATTATTTTCATAATATTTATATGTTTTATTTTATTTGCAAGTATTTTATTTCATTATTTATTTTTCTGTCAAAGGTTTGAATATTTCTCCTCACACACAACACTTGCATTGCATAACATAAAGCTCTATAATTGAGTTATCCTTTTTAAGTGGGAGTGAAAGCGACGTCTTCGTGAGAATTTATTCTCCGTGTTAGACCTAGCAAGTAACTTTCGGGGTTCATATACTCTATGTCTTCGTGAGAATTTATTCTCCGTGTCAGGCATAGAGAAATGTATCCCCTCGAATTGAACTCGATCCATTTTAGTCTGTAATGGACTAGGATTGAGGATTAGCAACCCAAGGGGGCACTAACAAGGACAATTCGGGTACCTTTATTCTTAGATCTGAAACCCTGCATATAATAAACCCTAGAAACTCTTCCGATCCGAAGTCATGCCGAAATTTTATCCAAAATAGGTGTACACACAGGAGAAATGAATTCTGATTTTCCTGTTAATTTATTTATTTTACTGATTAAATTACATGTTTATTTAAATTATTTAAATTTAGAAAAAGCATGTTTAAATAAAAAATATTTATGTAAATGTTATTATTAAATTTCTTTATTATGTAAACTAATTTATTTTCTTTTTGTGTGTTCTTTATTTTTCTGTTTGCATAGCATCATACAGGATAAAAGGCATTGATCCTTGTGTTAATTGTCTCATTGGAAAGCCTTCATCCATGGATAAAAAAGGTTCAAATCAAGTAATTCTAAACTCAGAAGTAAGACAATGGGCTGAAGACTTACAAAGACAAGAAGGAGACAGTCTGCAGGATGATTATGTATCTGACTTGGCCAGTTATGCTCCAGTTTCGCTAAAAAGAAATGATATGCAAGATTTGCGAAGTATTTGGGAAAGTTGGGATTCAAACAAAAAATTGCAGTTTTATCAGACTTACGGAGACATCCCATATTTGCTCTATGTCGAAGTTG